TTATGTTGTCACATAGGCTTGTCCTCGTGATTGTCTTTGTTGCCCACTTCTTTGACCCCATTCTCGATCGTGAGTCGACGACTTGCCATATAATTTCCAAGCATCTGCTCTTTGGTATGCTCGAGGTTTTTTACAATAAGTACACCACATATCATCTTTCGAAGTGTTCCTTTGGGGATACGGCTATTGAACGACGACTTTATCAAGAGAAAAACCCGATTTTAGAGTCTTGGAGTTTGAGCTTAGCGAGTGTCGAGCTCTCAACTTGTCGGTGAATCTAACATCACTCCTCTACGACTTTCTTCGACACGAACCATAGAGATGATTTCATTAAGGGAGGGAACATCGGTTCTTCCCAAGATTTGAATACAAACTAAGTCAAAATCACAATTTAATCCTGCTAAAAAATCATACACACGGTCACGTTCAATGAATTTTTTCACGGAGACAGACACGGTTACTACACTTCAAATCGATGGTCCTATAGTGATCGAGCTCCTGCCATAGGTTCTACAACAGATTGGCATACTCGGTTACACATTTTGTCCCCTGTTTCATTGCTGCAATTTTGGTTTTTATCTCATAAATGAGGGCTGCATCGTTAACTTTAGAATAAGTTTGATTGAGAGCATCCCGGATTGCCTTTGCAAAGGGAAGAAACATGCAAGTGTCACCGATTTTTGGGGTCATTGAATTCCATAGCCATGACATAATCATCGAATCTTCCTCATCCCACGCATCAAAGCCTACTCGTCCCCCTTTTTGGTCCAGTGGCTAGCAAATGCCCCATCTTCCCTCTTCCCTTCAAGAAGGTTCGAACAAATTGAGACCATTTGAGATAGTTTTTTCCATTCAATCGATAAGCGACTTGAACATTCCGAAAATCTAGATTGGTCCGGCTTGGTTTATCTCCCTCACTCGACGGAATCGACGTCACGGATGAATTTGGAGCTTCGGTCTCCGAAGATTGTGTGTCGGCCATTGTAGAGGAGGCAAAACGAAATATAGAAAAAGAGTATGAGGTAAGTACGACAATGAAGGCTGTGATTTTAACAATTATCCCTAGAGAAACCTTACGGCTCTAATACCATGAAGAAAATAATATTTGGGAAAATAATTTTTTTGTATTTCTCAATTACACAACTACATATATATATATATATATATATATATATATATATATATAGAGAGAGAGAGAGAGAGAGAGAGAGAGAGAGAGAGAGAGAGAGAGAGAGAGAGTTCTAAGATAGGAAAGAATTCCTAAAGAGTAGGAAGATAGAATAGGATCCCTACGGAATGGGAAAGAATATACAAAATATTTCATATCTAATCATATCCCGATATTTCCTACGGTTATAACTAGAGATGGCGTACAGGAAATCGATTGTCTTAAGAGACGACTATAGACAGAGTTTAACGTAAAGGATCTTGGTAAACTACAATACTTCCTTGGAATGGAGATTGCAAGGAGTAGAAAAGGTATATTCATTTCCGAGCAAAGTTACACTCTTGAGCTCTTGAGAGAAATTGGGAAACTCGGAAGTAGACTAGCTAGGACTCTTATGGAGCGAAATTGGAAGCATAAAATTACTGAAATGGAGGGAACGATATCAACAATTGGTGAGAAATTTGATTTACCTGTCATTTTTCAGACCCAACATAGCCTATACATAGCCTATAGTGTAAGTGTAGTAAACCAATTCATGCATCTAGAAGCAGTGGATCAAATTCTTTGATGCTTGAAAGGTACACTGGGGAAAGGGATGCTTTTCGAGAAGAATAATCAGAGAAATATTGAAGGCTTTGCAGATGCAGATTGGACAGGTTCAGTTAAAGATACCAAGTCTACTACTGGATACTGCACAAAACTATGGAGAAATGTGGTAACCTGAAGAACCAAGAAATAGATTGTTGTTGCAAGGAGTAGTGCAGAGGCAGAATACAAGAAAATTACTCAAGGTGTTTGGGAGCTAATCTGGTTAGAAAGGTTATTAAAGATTTGAACCTTTCACTCCAGGAACCAATAAAGTTGTACAGTGATAGCAAGTCAGCTAGGATGAAGCATGTGATGATAGACCAGAATTTCATTAAGTCAAAGATCGAAAATTCAAAGATTGAAAATCGAACATTCACCCTGTACTATCTGACTTCAAAGTCATGAGGAGCCAACATTCTCACGAAGGCATTACTTAAATCGGGATTTGAATCAAATGTAAACAAGTTGGGAATGATCGTTATCTATTCACTAGCTTAAGGGGGAGTGTTGCAAGGTTTGGTAAATCCTGAAATTAAGGGATTCTTTTGTTAGTCAACTTTATGTTTGTATACTTTATAGGTAGTTTCCTACTTTAGTGGATTTTTTGCTATTTGTTTCCAAGAATAATGCTTTTTGTTATTGTTTTAGGGTTATATAATGTCATGCTTAGTGATGAATAAATTTAATTCAGTGGAATTATTCAAGCAACCACTATTTTCAAATACACATATCAATGTCCATCACGAGAGAATTGAATGTAGACCCTAATATATCCATACGTCCATACACACTTCTATAACCTATATATTTGTATCACTTTTAAGTTTAAATATGGCTGGTGGAGATCAAAACAGCTAAAGGATTCTCAAACTCACGTTAGACAGCCCGCCTGAAAATAGTGCGAAGGAGAAATCTGCCCGCTTGTTTATCTGCTGAAACTTCAAAGAACTTTTGCCTGTCTTTGTATATTCTGAATTGGAATAATTTGCATACGTGTACTGGAACAAGAATGTTTGGAAATCATGTATGTTAGAGAAATTATGACCCATAAGATTCTACAAGTAACTCAATAACAAATCATATTGTACACACCTTTATTGGGGCTGTACATAGATATGGAGTTTGCTCTTTCGGTTCATCTACGGGTGCAAATGCAGATGAGCTGCCATATCGGAACATGGATTTTCCCAATTTAGAAAAAAGAAAAAAATAGCATGTCCATAATTCCTAGATTATGCAGATGTCCATAATTCCTAGATTATGCAGCTATCAAAGGTCATAATGTTGCTCCTACAGATACAATGATAGAGGAAGTTTGATGCAATAAATACAATGCTAGGAAAGTGTCAGTTGATAATATTTGCACCAGTCAATCACATTTCTGGCACAAAGAACAGTTAGAGAGCTTAATAATAGCACATAGACTGGCATTACTGGAAGTTTGCAGGAGAGAAAACTCCAACCCAATCATCTGCAGATGGTTCAGGGTGCACAATAGCCACTGTAACCTATTCAGTATCCTCACCCTGCAATCATAAAAATAACAATAGAAAAAACCATCAAATTAACCATAACTTCAAAACAGAATGCATATAGAAATTTATGGCAGATATTCTTGTAATGGTACCTGTAAGTTCAATAAGAGAGTGTGTAAAATGGCAGATTCAGCTAATAATCACTAGTGATACACTCAAAAGACCAATCTTTAATATGGATAACAGTCCAAAAAACAGTCTAGTTGCTAGGTATACAATCAAACTGCAAAATTTCCCTAATATAAGAACATCATGAACAAATTGGTCTACCAATTTTTGCTCCTAGAAGTAGATTTCAACTCTGAAGTTTTCTTCTTTTCTACCAAAACGAAAAAGACCATCCCTTTTCAACTGGGTATCTAAACACTTGCAAGAGTAATTGAAAAACTCAGGTCTCACTCTAACCTCTTTCTGTTACATTGAGCAAGGCATTAAAGTCAGCATAAATTTTGACTTTCCAATTTTTTAATACTAAACCTCAATCCCTCCTACTTAATTAACACTCCTTTCAACCCATTTTGTATATCAATTAAACAACTAGGTGTGCAGCAACTTAATGAATAAAGTCTAAACAGATATATAGCAACTTAAAACAGCATACACAAATATTAAATGCCACAAGTATAATTTAGATTAGGGTCAGTCAAAATCATCACCTTCAAGCCAAGAAGGTGTTATGGTCCCGAGTTAAGGATCTCATTAAGGGGTCGATTAAAGGGGAAATCAAGTAGCTTTCCCTTGTTCATGTTTTGATTCTTCCATGAAGAACCTATTGTGAACAGATAACAATGGATGGCTTGTTTTAGAGACCACCAACACTCCTAGATTTTTCTTGACTGAATTATTCGATACCTTTATTCAAAAAGCATCTGCTCTTTATATTAGTAGAGGCGACTGAAAAATAAAGACAAACCTAATAAGATATAGCCTAGATAGACACACTAACATAGAAAATCTTAATTAAAATATCACACCAATTAGGACTCTCATAATCGTTTTCCTAATCTGACTTATTCTTAATAAATAATAAACAAAAGCAATAAATAAATATCTACAAGATCTTAGTTTCCCTTCTTGCGCTGCTACCTTCTTCTATACTGCTGATCCACAACAGAAGGAGAGGGCTGGCATAAACGGAAGCTGATCCTTTAAGAGCCAGAGCGGTTTTGTAAATATAAATCTTCGCAAGTGGTTGCTCTCCAAATCCATGTAGGTGAGCCAGAACATAGCTCACGTATGCAAAACCCAGAAACCAAAACACAAATACTATTGTTGTTGGTGGTGTTGTTGTCAACACTTTCACTTATTTTGTTGTACGTTAAGCACAACATTAAAGTCTAAATAAACCTCAACTTTCTAATTTTGTTAAATCTCATCCTCTTCTCTTAATCAACATACATTTCAACTTTACTCAATTATTTACAAACAAACAGATATAAAAAAACAAACTGAAATCCAAAACAGCACAACATGGCACAGAGAAAATGATTTTAACGGATGATTTATAAATTATTAACAAAAGAAAATAGATTCCCTATTTTTATACCTTATAACAAAGTTGTTGAGACTAGATTTTAGTTTCTATACATTAGCTGAAAAATATAACAATTACAAATCGTGCTTACATTATTGTATATTTAAGGAGGAAAAAGAATAGGTATGATAATACAATAAAATTTTCAGTCGTTACAAAAGAATACTCTTACTGTTCACCAATAGTCCTCACAAGAACAATGCCCATCTTTGAAATGATGGAACCTGCTGGCATCTCTTATGACAATCTCCCTTCCAGTTACCATAGCTATTAACTTAATTGCTTTATGACAGTCGCTGCAAATCCGGTGGCCCTGTACAATTTGCAAAGGTACCCAATATGGAGTGCTCATGAGACCAAAAGCAATGGCCAATTTTTCACTATGGTACAAACGTATACGCGCTTCTTGTTCATCCACATCAGGAAGCAAAGTTTTATTGTCAGGAACATAACCATAATTGGAAATTTCTAGCATCAACTTATCCACTTTTTCATAAATCTCCTTTCTCTGGGGATGGCGTTTATCTCCAGAAAGGAAAACATGTGACTGTCTCTTAACTTCAACCCAACTGCACACAGGACGCATTCTCAAACCTTTTCTCTTTAAGGTATGGACAACACCAGCAGCTTCCTTTATGTTGCCAGCGCTGTTGTATATATTCAAAAGCACAACATAGTTATTAAGCTTATCTGGTTCCATGCCATAAAGTTTCTCGGCTGCAAATTTTCCTAGCTCCAAATTCTCGTGGACTCGACAAGCAGTTAACAGAGCAGCCCACATATTTGCCGTAGGCTTAAAGGGAGCACCCCTTATTAAAGCCAAAGCTTCATCTAACAGCCCTTCTCTACCCAATAATTCAATCATACATGCATAATGCATAGCTCGGGGCTTGATCCTGTTATCTCTACCCATAGAATGAAAAATTTCCCACCCAAGTTCCGATAGACCTGAATGGCTACAAGCAGATAAAACAGCAAGAAAAGTGACATGGTTGGGATTAATTCTTTCTTGAAGCATCTGCTCAAACAACTCCACAGCCTCACGTCCCAGACCATGATTTCCATATCCAGCAATCAAAGCATTCCAAGAAATTACATTCTTGCAAGTCATCTTGTCAAAAACGTGCCGAGCATGTTCTATTCTTCCCCATTTGCTATAGAAGTCCACAAGTGCTGTGTTTGCTACAATGTCTGATCCAAAACCATGGCGAATTAAAGCAGCATGAGCTTGCTTTGCATGCTCCACTGAAGCTAACCTAGCACATATTCTAACAATCATGGAAAATGTGAAGTGGTCCATTTTAACACCAGAATCTCGCATCTCATAATACATCTCCAATGCTTCCTCACTGTAGCCATGAAGAGCATAACCCGCAATGATATTATTCCATCCAACCGTAGTTTTCTCCGGCATCTTGTCAAAGGTAAAATGAGCATCTTCAATGCTTCCACACTTACTATACATATCAATCAGCGCACAAGACACAAATATATCATCCCCTATGCCCATCTTCAAAGTGCAGGCATGTAATTGCCTCCCTATGGAAATCAATTCCAACCCAGCAGATGCTCGAATCATCACTGCAAATGTGAAAGACCCAGCATCTGAAAACTCCGCCCACATAGTTAAAAACAATCTAAACGCCTCCACAAAATCTCCTACATCCACAAGCCCCGAAATAATTGTATTCCAAGAAACCAAATTCCTCTCTGGCATCTCATCAAACAATCTCCGCGCATCGACCATCATCCCACACTTAACATGCATAAGCAGCACTCTATTCCTCATATACTGATCCAGTTCAAATCCATTACTAACCATATAATTAAACACCCTCTTAACTCCTCGAACTGATCTTAATCCTATGCAAGCATTCACTAATGCATCATAAGTACTAATCCCCACATCAAACCCACCTTCAATCTCAAAAATCTCAAACAAATCAAGAGCTTCTCTATACCTAGCAAACAAAACTGACTTCTCAATCTGACTACAAATTCCTACACTTGGTCTTCTAACAAAATTACTCCTTTCACTTACATCAATGTTAACTTTCGCCGGTTTGGGCTTTGGACGTGGTCGTAACCCTTGATCTAACGAACAACACTTGATTTTCCAAAATGGGTTCTTCCATTTTGTTTTATTAAAAGAAAAACCATATCCAGAAAACAATTTTTTTTGGTTTAAACACTTGGACTTTGAAAACAAAAAAGGGAAGCTACGATTATTATGATTTTGGATTTGATCCAGTGTCAAACTTTGGTAACGCAATAGTGGTATCTCCATTTCGCAAAATGAAAAGCAAATCAGTGAATGCTAAGAATAATCATAACAAGAGCCAAGAAAAAGGCCGTACCTTCGAAAGGTAATGAGAGTATTGAAAGGCAAGGATGAAAGAAAGAGTTTCAAGTTCGGGGATTCCGAGGAGAGAGTTGTGGAGTGGCAGTGTTGTTAACGATCTGTTGTTTTGTCTCTTTTTGTTCATGTTTAGCATCGAAATATCCGCCTTTCAAGTTTCAAGTAGTTGTGGTAGTTGCAGTAGTTGTGGTAGTTGCAACTATCACTGCTACGTTTTCAAGAAAATCGGTAGATATTGTAATATTTTAGCTCCTATAGATTAAGATTTATTATAGTTCGATTGTCGTTATTTTAATATTTCCAGCATTGATTGTAATCCCTGTAGTTTCAGCGTGCATCCTATATATAGTAGGCCGTGAAACATATTGCTTTGAGATTTTTTCAATTACTTCAAATATCTTTTGAAATGTCATTCTAGTCAAACACATCTTTTTTCCCATTACCTAGACACTTCATTTACAAATTTTTAATTAATTAATAATAATTTTTTACATGTGTTACATTGCTACAGTAAAACAGATATTGATGTAAAATTATTTAAAAAAATTATTTTAATTTGATAATCTATGCTCTAATATAAGTCCGTCAAAATATATCATATTAAAAATAAAAAAATAATTCAATTTTTTAATTTTTTAATCAAAATTTTGTATTTGACTAATTATTTTTATATTTTTCATAAGTTTTCTCGCTAAAAACACATGATTTATTCTCTTTTATCCATAATCTTAACTAAAAAATTGTAATAATTTAAAAAAAAATCCACATATTCTTAACTAAAAACTTATTTTGTAATTTTTTTTTTTTGAAAAATCTAAAACAAATTATCTTAAAAGCAATTTAATCTTTAGATTATATATATAATTATGCTACTATCATTTAAAATTTTTTAAGAATATATCATATAAACTATATCAATTTTTTTAAAAAAAAAAAAAAGAGAAAATAATTATATTCAAAAATTCATATATAGAGAAAAAATCATATTTGTCAATAAATAAACTTTATACAAAAGAAAAATAAATAATAAATAATAAATTGGATGACAATCTCTATAAAAAAATGACAAATTAAAAGAATAAATTTTAAATAGTCATAGTAACATAATCTAAAATATATGTTTATTTTAAAATATAAAAATATATCGGATATATTTCTTTCTCATCAAACTACATGTAAAATCCAAAAAATAATGACCAATCTTTCATAATCTTCATTCAAAAATCCATTAGTAAAAAATAAAATAAAATAAATTACTAAAAAAAGAGTTAGGGCACGGGCCCACGCTTATAGGAAAAAAAAAGAAAAGAAACAAACGAACAAAACAAACGACATGTTGTTTGCTTGTTGCACAAGAGACAATGTGTTGTCCTTTTGCAATTTTCTAACAAACCGAGTTCATAAAAAAGTCATTAGAAAAATAGGTTTCTAATTTTTGACGTCTCTAAAGCCAAATTTAGTGTTGTTTTTTTATTCAAAAACACCTCAAAATTACATAAATAAGATCAACAAACTCATTTTAATATACACAAAAATCCAAACCAATTTCAAAATATTTTGAAATTTCGATATTTCTCATCTAACCATTTCATGACTTATGACCACTATATAGAAACTCTCTTCTTCAAAAATAAAAAAATAAAAAAAGAATTAAAGCCAAAATGGCAAGACTAAATCATGATACAAATGAAGTTTAGTATCGAAACAAATGGTTTGAAAAATTAGGAGTCAAAATGCAACATTTGTTGAAATTAAAGGGGTAAGCAAGTTGTCCACGGAACCATGGACAACTTGGAATAAGTTGTCCACGGTTACGTGGACAACTTGAAAAGGTAAGCTGGATCATAGCTTGCATTTTGCAAGCCGTGACCAGCATTGCACCGCCTCATCCAATGCAAGGAGGGAGGCCCGTAAGTTGGCATCCCCACCTCATTTGCTAGCATCCTCCAATCCTTCATCCATCCACAAAATGAGAGGAAAAAAAATAAAGAGAGAGCTCCTAATTCAATCCCTAAATCCTCTATTAAAGAGAGATTAGTTCTTAAAGAATATATAGTGTTTTTCCTATTTTAAGAAAGAGTCATTGTTTTCTCATTGTAATGTAGAGAGAGGTTATAGCTTTTATTATTTCTCATATTGAAGTCTTTTTATCTTGTTCGTGGTTTTTTTCCTTAATTTGTTTAAGGGTTTTTCATGTAAAATCTGTATATTCAATATCGTCATTTTGTCAATTTAATTAGTCGCGAATCTTGCTCTATTCGTTCGGTAACACAACAAGTGGTCTCAAAGCCTCGGTTGTAGATCCCGTAGAGGCGTGTTATAGTAGCGAGTAAAGAGTTGTGATAAAAGCAATGACGGCAAAGTTTGAAATTGAAAAATTCAACGAGAGCAATTTCTCATTATGGAAGTTAAAGATAAAGACTATCTTGAGAAAAGAAAATTGCTTAGTGGCCATCAACGAAAGATCAAAAGAATACACAAATGACAATGAATCGGAATGAGATTGATGGAAATGCTATTGCAAATCTTCATCTAGCATTAGTAGATGGGGTGTTATCAAGCATAGAGGAGAAGAAACAACGAATGAGATCCGGGATCATCTCACTAAGTCTGTATGAGGCCAAATTGCTCGACAATAAAATTTTTCTTAAGAGAAAACTTTATACTCTTCATATGTCGGAATCTACTATGGTGACAGAACATTTCAATACTTGAATACTCTATTTTGTCAACTCACATCATTGGGTTATAAAATGGATCAAAGTGAACGTGCTTGAACTTCTACTTCAAAGTCTACCGGATTCATATGATTAACTCATCATCAACTTAACAAATAATATCCTTACAGATTATCTAGTCTTCAATGATGTCTGCACTGTTGTTCCGGAAGAAGAAAATCGATGCAAGAATAAGAAGATAGGCGAGACAAGTTCACAACAAGTAGAGGCTTTCACATATGGTTCGACTTACAATAGTTCGAGTAGTCTTGACAATTTATGCTATGTTTGACTTACATCTAGAGTAGCTAGATGTGAAAATGGCTTTTCTTCATAGAGATCTTAAAGAAGAGATTTATATGCTCCAACAAGAAGGTTTTGAAGAAAAAGAAAAGAGAACTTGGTTTGTAGGTTGACCAAATCTATATACGGTCTAAAACGAGCACTAGGGTGTTGGTATAGGAGACTTGATTCATTCATCATGAGCCTTGGATACAACGGACTAAATGCGGAACCTTGTGCATATTTCAAAAGGTTTGGTGAAAATGATTTTATTATTTTGTTATTGTATGTTGACGACATGTTAATAGCGAGCTACAACAAAGATCGTATTACGGAATTAAAGGCACAATTGGCTAAGGAACTTGAAATGAAAGATTGAGGACTAGCAAACAAAATTCTAGGGATACAAATTCACCAAGACAGAAATAATATGAAGATTTGGCCTTCATAAAAGAATTATTTGAAGAAGATCATGTGGTGTTTCAACATGTAAGATTGAAAGCCAATTTCTACTCCATTTCCTATTAATTTCAAGTTATCCTCCGAGTATGAGTTCTAGCGAGTGAAAAAGAGAGGATAGAGATGTCTCGAGTATCGTATGCATCGGTAGTGGAAAGTTTAATGTTCGTTATGATTTGTACAAGGCTAGATATTGCGCATACGAGTGGGAGTGGTTAGTCGGTACATGTCGAATCTTGATAGAGAGCATTGGAATGCAATAAAGAGGATCCCGAGATGCATTCAACGGATATCGGATGTTGGATTATGTTATGGAGGATCAAAATTTACTATCAACGGTTATGTTGATTTTGATTATACGGGCGATTTGGATAAAAGCAAATCAACCACGGGTTATGTGTTTACACTTACTGCGTAGCCGTAAGTTGGGTTTCAAAACTACGATCGATTGTGGTTACGTCAACAATATAAGTAGAATATATAAAAACTACGCAAGCTAGTAAAGAAGCATTCGGTTGAAAATGGTATTGGAAGGACTCGAGCATAAACAAGAAAATATTTCTCTATTTTATGACGAGTCGAGTGTCTTGCATCTTGCAAGGAATCCGACCTTTCATTCAAAGACAAAGCAAATATGTGTTCGGTATCACTTCGTTCGTAAGAAAGTGGAAGAATGAACTTGTGGATATATAGAAAATTCATACAAAAAACAACCTAGTAGATTTTTTGACAAAGGCAATCAATGATGACAAATTTATTTGGTGTTGATCCTCCTGTTACTCGATAAAGACATAAGCGACATAACAATGACAAGATAGAAAGAATAGTGTGAATATCTAATTAACTCTCAATCAAATCTTCGGGTGGGAGATTGTTGAAATTAAAAGGGCAAGCAAGTTGTCCATAAAACCATAGACAACTTGGAATGAGTTATCCACGGTTTCGTGGATAACTTGAAAAGGCAAGTCGGGTCATAGCTTGCATTTTGCAAGTCTGTGACCGACATTGCACTCGCCTCATATGAGGTGGTGCAATGCGAGGAGGAGGCCTATAAATTGGCCTCCCCATCTCATTTGCTAGCATCCTCCAATCCTTCATCCATCCATAAAACGGGAGAAAAAAAATAAAGAGAGAGCTCCTAGTTTAATCCCCAAATCCTTTATTAAAAAGAGATTAGTTTCTAGAAAATATAGAGAGTGTTTTTCATATTTCAAGAGAGAAAGTCATTGTTTTCTCCTTAGAGTATAGAGAAAGGTTGTAACTTCTATTATTTTTCATAGTGAAGTCTTTTTATCTTGTCCGTGGTTTTTTCCCTTAATTTATTTAAGGGTTTTCACGTAAAATCTATGTATTCAATATCGTTGTTTTGTCAATTTAATTAGCTATGAATCCTACTCTATTCGGTCATCAACACAACAACATTCATTAAACTTACATATAAAATGACTAAAAGTAGTTTTAAAATTACAAAAAAATATGATTCCAAACTGAAAACACACGATGACTTTGGGTTTACTTTCAATTTTGAGCCTTGAGAACAAAAAAAACGCAAAGTAAACTATTGTTCCATTTGTTCATTCTTTTTAGGTTGTTTTAATATAACAAAATGAGAATTGAGAAAAATAATAGAGATAAATACACATAAATTTTACATTTGTTCAATTTAACGCATACCTTTACAAGGAAAGATAGATAAAAAGTTTTTTTTTTAATGAAAAAATAGAATACAAAAACAAAAAGAATATCACTCAAAATCTACAAATGCAAAAATAACCTTACACAATCTCACATAACGTTTCCTACAAATACATAAGAGCATCTCCAATGGTGCTCTCTACTTTTAATTAGCATTTTAAATGTAAATAGAGAGTATCATTAATTATATAGATTGAAGATTAATGTCCTCTCCAATGCTACTCTCTATTTTAACTCTTTATTTTGACAAAATTCATAAAACTCGAGAGACTATTGGTGAAGAGGTTGAGTGGCATAAGAAATAATAATTTTCATTAATGAAATATAAAATAAAGAGTCATTTGGACTCTACAGTATTGGAGAGTCAAAAACATTCCGTATCTTAATTTTAAAAATAGAGATTGTAATAAAAACGAGTATTGAAGATGAAATTTGGATGAAACCTCTTTATTATAAAGAAAAATCTTAATATAAAAAGAGCATCGAATATGCTCTAAAAAACTTTTTCTTTTCTTTTCTTTTTTCTTTTTATTTTTTTAAAAGATTTTATGTGTTGCAGTTTTAGACATCCATAATTATACCGAAACAAAATAGATGCATGCGTGAATATAATTGAATTGAGTAGATGGACTTGCCTATTCATGATTACAACCGCAGCTAATGTTTTTTTCTACCTATATTAACTTAACAATTTATATTTACTTAATTTTTATACCAACAACATATCACATGATTAGAGCAGCTGCTAGATAACTTTTAATAACTAAAATTATGTAATTTTAATTATTATTTTTTCATAATACAGGTACCGACTTCACCTGTATTCAAATTGTAAGCTATCCTTTTTTAACAACTTTTACGCCTATTAGATTTTGAAAATTCATAGCCAAATATATATATATATATATAAAGGTTTCTCTCCCTGTCTTTTTTTTTTTTTTTATAAACATTAATAAATTTTTCTATGTATAAAAATATATTGGTTTGAAAAAGAATGTTTTATTACGTATCACAAATAGACAACTAGAGTGTTAAAAATGGAATATTCCTGAAGCTACACAGGCCGAATAAAAGTTATTTATACGTCGCCGTTTATAGCCCAGCAAACATACAAGCCTAACGAATCGTTGAGGAGCCAGAATTCAAAACAGTTCGACTCTAGAGAGAGAGTCTAATCTTTTCCATGGCACCACCGCACGATATCCGACGTCCGTTCAAGAGACCAACAATCTCCGACCAACAGCGCCGTCGAGACCTAAGTCTACAGCGGCAAGCACAGAGCCGCCGTGATGCTCAACATCAAGCTCGATGCTTAGCCTCTACTGTCCTCTCTCTCCAATCCCAAACCACCCCTGAACCCGAACCGGATATCGAGCTTGAACTCGTACCCGAAACCGAAGAATCTGGAGCTCCATCGCAAGAACTCGATGTCCGTCACGCAGCGAAGCTTAAAGGAGCCGAAGCTCGTAAATGGTTCGCCAAACAGTTAATGCTACCTGAGTGGATGATTGATGTTCCCGATCGATTAAGCGATGACTGGTCGTTTTTCACTCTCTCTTAAAATAATTTCAAATTCTTATTATTTTTTTATTCTTTTATTTATTGATTTAATTTGTCAATTTTGTGGGTTTTTAGGTATGTATTTGCAAGGCCAGCCGGAAAACGGTGTTTTGTGGTGTCAACAAACGGAACGACAGTCAGTAGGCAACGAAATGGATCAATACTACATCGTTTTCCTTCTGCTTTACCTAACGGAGCTAAGAAAAGAGATGGTTCCGGTCCCAATCAGTCTTATTGTATATTAGACTGCATTTTTCACGAGGTAAAATTAACAAAATTAACAATTTAATAATTTAATTAAAAAATTAATTACCTTTTTGTGGATTGATTTTTGCACAGTTGGATCAGACTTATTATGTGATTGATATGGTGTGTTGGAGGGGATACTCGCTATATGATTGCGCGGCAGAATTCCGGTTTTTTTGGTTGAATTCTAAGCTTGGAGAGACCGGAGCTTGTGAACCTCCTTCATTTTATCACAAGTACAGGTTCAGTACAGTTCCGGTTTATAATTGTGATCAGAATGGTTTGTTTTCTGCATATTCAGGAGCTGTGCCGTATACTAAGGATGGATTATTGTTTTATAACAAGTAAGTGGTTTTGATTTAAGAATGTTATTAATTGATTATAATGTTTTCCTGTGCTCTTTTATGCGTTGTTGTGTTCTAGAGAATTTTTCGAATTTTGTATCGATAAACGACTGCATTGTGTAGATTGCTGGTTTTAATGCTAGTAGAGTTATTTATGTGTGGTGCTACTTTTTCCGTGAAGTGGGTGTGAAGCATGCTTTAAGGCCAGTTGGTGCCAACCTTTTGGGTTTTAGTCCTTTGCTTACCCAAAGAATAAGTTCCATCCTCAGTGTGATTTAATGAGAGAAGGGTTTTAGGCGTGTTCTTTGATGAAACATCTATTCTCTTCTAATTCCTGAAATAAAAGATTATTGTTTTCTGTAAAGAAGTATTGAGTTTGATATATGCTTATTATGCAATAATGAGGTTGTTAAGGACTATTCTATAGCAATTTCTTTGAAATTTGAATGCTGCCTGTTGGACCCCAGTTTTCCTATGAGAGGAAATGCTCTGAGATCACAGGCTCTTAAATGGTAAAAGATCCTGGATGATTTTTCAAACAAGTCATACATTGTTTCCAGATTATGATAGTTTTCTAGTTGTGTAGAGTTTAGAGTAGGGTTTCATAAATTGTCATATTGCATCCACTAGAGAAATAAATGATCTATGCTTCAGTCAGCAAATGTTATGATGACTGTTGAATTGAGATTGATCAATGCTCATTGGGCAATTCCAAGCATGTTACCATAGGATTCCTTTTCTCAAAGAAAGAGTTCAGTCTGGATTTAGCAGAGCATGCGAGTGTGTACTTAAATGATAAAACCCCTTGTATCACAAAGCACATTTCTTTATAATTTAAATTGCTTTGCAGTAAGAGAGGTGTCTCTTTTAGTATATATGCAAGGACTTCTCATGTCAAATTTGAAGTCTGGAATCGGTATACCGGGATGTCTAACACTCAATTTGTTAGTTCTTAGGACACCTGCTTGTGCAGTATTTATCTATTTCTTTTTCTTGAATTGATATTTTGCAAGCAAGACCAGCAATTTCATCCTTGAATGGAATTAGTATGTTATATTAGAATGTTAAATTGTAGTAACATGTCCTGACCTGTCTATCTTTATTTTCATTGATGTATTTCTTTTATATTTTTTGTTCCTTGGTATCAGCACGGGACTGTCCTTTGAAATTTGACTTGTCCAACTTTATTTTCTCAGAAAGTTTTCTGATAATGATCACCTGAATTCTTTCTCAGGCATGCACATTATCAGACAGGAAATACACCACTAGCATTAGTCTGGAAGGATCAGAACTGTAGCCAATATGTCATTGACACTGATAGTAAAGGACAGGTTCCAAGCCAGCAACAGGTATTTGATCTCCCATCTGTTTTCTTTTGTCCTTTGTCAAACTTGCTATGGTCTGCATAGGAAAAGGTGCTTATGAGAATCCTTTCTTTTTCATTTCTTTTGTACGCTTGTGGTTTTTTAGATTTGCTGGTAACTATATTTTTGGCATGAGCAGGTAGTTTTAGAGCTACAAGTTGATGGAAAACTGGTTACATCAGATGATCCTCCTGTGGTATTTGGTTGTTTGGATTCAGATTTTATCCAAAAGGTTTGTGCAGTCATTTATTGGCATTTTTCAATAATTTTTCTTGCTTCTTTTCAACATTATAATTTCCTTAATATTTCTATCTTCTTGCCACCAATTCTTCAGTCAGGACTGTGCTCAGGAAATCTTCTTCGTTTTGCTATAAGTGATGGAGGGCTGAGTTTTGTGGATGGAAAGCTTGCTAAGGCTGACTTACATTATCTCGAGAAGCCCAATCGAGCACGTGCATTTGCAGATAGTTACTCGAAGGTTAGCAGAGAAATATAATCCTGCATATAATTTTTTTTTTCAATTGATCTCGGCTAATGATTACTCTGGTCGAAATAGACACTGGATGCCTTGACTTAGTCCTCTTTGAGGGCTGGTAGTTTGAGGCTTGGTCTTTTTTTTTTTTTTTTTTTTTTTTTTTTTTGTGAGAAAGGGGAGAATTGATTCACCAACCTTCCTTTGTTCAATTCCTCTGCTATTTTGATTCTTCAGGTGCACTTTCTCATGAACATGCCGATATTCGCTTAATACCAGTTGATAAAACTGATATAAATGGCAGTGGCTTGGATTCAGTTTCACAGTTGTTTTTCCTCCTGTGCATTTTGAGAAGTTGTTTTCAGGGACATGCATTGGTTGGTGTGACTTGGGAGGTTTTACAATTCCATTCATCTGTTTGCATAAAAAGGCTATCACTCAGTTATGATCCTACCAAAGTGGGTTCTTGGGAGGGTCAGACAGTCTTACTCTTCAGCTTTTTTAGGATGAACTAGCTGCTATTAATACTAGAATCTGTACCCTCGTGGTTGCAACTTGCAACTACATATATACATATACTCATGTGTGCGTCCGTGTGTGTTTTATGGTTGTGGAGCATTCTGACTTGCTTGTTTTTAGGGTCATTTTACAATCTTGCTTGACAATATTTTTGCAAAATTTACACTTGCAGATTATGTTCCAGCACACTGTCCGGCATTGCCCTTTAAAAATTGATGATCTACTAGGGTCTATTTCCTCAGCAGATGATCAACGAAACAAACCTTGTGACATCGAGATGGTTAGCTGATTGTGAACTTTGGTGATAGCGAAGGGAAAACTCTTTCCTTCTGTGCCCAGTTATCCAATGTAATGCTTAATGCTTGAGAAGGGCTCCAGCAGTTCCGTGCCAGGACATTTTTCAACCCATCAGCTGCCTGCAGAGATACAAAGCGAAGCAAATCCTCAACTGTCGGCTAGAGTTTTTTGCTTGAGTCTAGTTTGGCAATTTAGATGCAACTGCACCATTACAATTGCGTAGGAGGCTGGACAACTTTTCATGATATATTTGTGCACAGATTTGGTCTTATCTTGTTAAATCATATTGTAACCCATATAATTTTGAAACTGGGAGAGATGCCTTTTGTAATGTTAAGATAATCTTATCTGTATATTAGATTTAGAATTATTACTACTACCAATTACTAATTACTAATAACACTAAAAGATTTGGGAAATTACTATTTAAAATATTGTGTATTCTTTCTCATTTCACTATTCATTTACTGTTTATTGTATCTAAAATCACTATTCATTTAGTGTACTTATAATTTTTTTTTTAAATGTGTATTTTGGCCTTTCATTTTTTGAAATTGTTTTTTTCAATCCATAAGTTCATTTTTTGTTCTTTCTGGTCCTTGTATGCTAATAGGAGAGAGAGAAGTGAGGAGAAAGAGAGGGACGATGAGGCGTATTCCTGGCCATTGCGATGGGCGAGTTTGCCATTATTTTGTTTGCCTCAAATAGTATTATTTGTTTGTGGTGGTAATGACTGATGATATAGTAGTAAGAACTAGATTTAAATTTGAAACTATTAAGTTTTTTTCTTATTTTGATTTGAATTTTTATGTATTTTGTGTGAATTAAAATGAATTTTTAAGCTCTAAACTTTTTTGTTTAAGTTGTTTTTGTAATTTTGAAGTGTTTTTGGACAAAAATTGAGTTGAATTTGGTTTTGGAAGGTCAAAAATTAAGAAACTTGATTATCAGGCGATTTTTTCTACAATATAAAGTTCGTTGAAAATTAGAGAGTTGTACAAAAACTCAAAACAATAAAATTTTTATTTTCATGTCTAGGCCTAGCCGTACGAGCCTAGTTTGCGAGGCCTAGGAACGTTGACTTGGTCTTTTCTTCGATTATTTTAAATTAAAATTTTTTAGGCAAAAATTATGAAACATTGAAAGTTATTATTTGTGTTTTTTATGCATCACGGTGAGAATAAAATATATGATATCATTTCATATTTTAAATTATATTATTCTTATTATTTAAAATTTATTCTTTATATTTATCATATGAAAATTCTCATTGATCTAATATTGTTTTATATAAAATTTTATTTAATAACTGATATAATCTAATTTTTTCTATATTTAAATCTTAGAATAAAATTTCAAAACATAATTATTTGTTTTAAAAAATAAATTGATATAATATATATTATGAAATTTTAGAATTTTTAAATGATAGTTTCGTCTATATACATATATATATATTTCGGATAATTTGTCTCGATCTACTAAATATAATCAAAATGTATAAAAAAAAATATTAAATCATCAGTTTTATTAAAAATTAATCATACATTTTCACACATAACACCAACTATTAAATATAATAAATCATGTTTTTTAAGAAGAAATTTATGAAAAACATTAAAAAAAAAATTAATGAAAAACTTATTAAATTTTGAAATGATATACGCTACGCGTAACAGGCTAGTTACATCCTGTTTCAGTTGGCCTCAAATTTTGGCTTTGTGTAATCTCTATGGCTCGTTTGGATCATTGTTGCACCCTTCCCTGGTTTGATGAAGCAATTTCGCATGTAAATCTGACCAGGGAATTCCAATTCATGATGTTTTAATTGTTTGGATCGATGAACAAGCCATATTCAGGATTTTGGTTGACCTGATATGGCTTCTGGAAGCATGAAGCTGACAAGTTAATAGAATTCTAAGAAAGAGAAGGCCAAAGGTGTTTCAATAAGGAAGCTGAATAGGGATGGATTTCTTTGGTCATGAAAGAATCATATTCACTCGAACAATCTATTCAAGTTGAAGAAATAGGCTTGAAAGAATCATCATTGTCTGTGGCATATTCTTTGAATTGCTTCAGACATGGTGAAAAAATTTCTGATAGTCTGCTCTAGACACATTGGGAGGGGGAAAAAATAAATCTGTAATTGGATTAACATATGCTGTGATCATTCAATGTGAGGGAAGGAAAGGAGAATATTTGGCAATGACTTCCAGGTCTTCAGAAAGAATCTCCCTTGTCGTTCTCTTGCTTGTTTTCTCCTCTTCGCCATATTCGTAGGCTAAAATACCGCATAACATCCTATCAAGTTTACAGAGAAGAAAAAGCCTATGGAACATAACAGAGAAGCAAAGTAACGAACAAAAAATGAGGGAAATAAACTTCATTGAACTATATCGCTAGACTTGTAAATTACAACACTGCTCAGAAGCATATGTACGTATAGCAATTGGAAGTGTGTTTTTTTTTTTTTTTTTTTGGTCTGTATGGTTCAAATAGCTGAGAATTTGTTGGCAGATAATTCAATTATCGTCCACACAGGCCCATACATCATCTCTGTAGTCTCTTAAAATGGTGAAAGAATCATATACATTTCCATCAGCTTTTCTTATACTCGAGGAGCAAGGATTAGAGATTACATGCTGTCAATTTAACAAATCCATAGTCATAATCTCTGTAAACAGAGCACCTGGGTGTCACGCTGGTGTCTGTTCCTTCATCCAATTTTTTCTTCTTTTTTTCCACAGGAGAGAGGAAATAACCATTTCAGTATCTATGAGTGTTTCTTACATAATCATGAAACACCAATTTCTTGCACACAATAATGGTGTTTGCAAGCCAAAGATTTATCGAGAAGTTCTTTCATTACATCACGGATAGTTATCAAACTACATTGATAAATACCCTTATGCACCAGATTGGAACAAAAGGTCTTCTAAGTAAAGTAGCCCTCTAAATGCCTGTTTATAGTCAGTGATTTAGTTTTTGATGCAAAACCCAATAAGGTTTTCGTTAAGCAGCATAAAGCAGGATTAACCTCCTGGCAAGAAAATAATGCAGCCTTCAGAAATGACAGAAGAGAAGTGGCATGTATGTTATAGGGAAATCTAAGTAATGCATGGAACAGAACACACACATATCAATTGACTCATTTATTTACCATGAATCTTGTTCTTTCCACTGCATACAAAACATTTTGTGTATTTCAATTGTACATACCATGTAAATAGGGCATGTCCTTTCATAGTTGTGGGCGTGTCCATAAGATGAAATGTGCACCTTGTATTTCTGCCAAAGTCCCTGCAAAACTTTCCCTTCCCATGGACTCTGCAAACTGTTCACTCAGATAGTTAGATACTTAGATGAATACCCAGGGACGAGATGCGCTGCAAAAATTAACCGAGGCTGCTTTTGTTTATCTACAGATGCAAGGCATTTCTCAATGAATGCATATTGTTCCGATCCCTTCCTCCTGTCTTGCTCACCGTCTGCTATACAGAAGTGAAGCATTCCATAATCAGTTGAGTACCTGCACATTCATGCATTTTGATTAAACTCCAGGAGACGTGTTTGACTCACTAACTCAGGCATCTATTAGGTTCAATGCTCTTCCTATTTTGGCACTAACTTGCCTTACCCTTCATTTTCTATGTATATTTCCTTTCTCTCCTCTATTATTCTTGGTTCTGAGCACCAGTCAAACGTGTCAGTTTCTTTATAAGATTAACTCTATGGCCAATGGTAAAATTCATCAACAGGATTCTTAATTTGAGAATAATTCAACGAGACTTCTATTTAACTAGACAAAACTTGGATCTATTTCATCTGGAACATCGAACATAGTTTCTTCAGGCACACCACATTCGCCACCTGAATCTGGCCAGTCACTTTCCTGACTACCACTGCAGAGGAAAATACGACAAGCATGCTTCAACCACAACCCTGAAGTTAATCATAGATTTATACAGAAAAGACAAGGAATTGTTCGCAAGCAACAACGCAGGCAGTGCAATCTTGTATGGCACAGTTGATGCAATAGGCTCCACTAGTGCTGTGAATTGGTCCAGCTGTGAAATGAATCCATTTGAATATGTTATTTCTCCTATATGGAATACAATATCAATTTTTCTCAACTCCTTGATGAGTTGGTCTGTGGTGTTGAGTGAACCAGATTGATAATCGCTTTAATCATCTAAACCATCTCGCTTTGCTTGAAAGACATTTGTTAGAAATGTAGACCTCTTCCCATTTTCATTTATTTTTATTTTTTTGACAAAAATATGAATAATTTGAGGAAAATCAGGGATGGTCCTACAGCTTAATAAGCATTATCTACCTAGCGAGGATTCTTAAGCACAACTTATTTCAATAACCAGAAGATGGCATGTCAAATTTGACTTCAAAAATAGACATTTAAAACTTTTCCCAGTAATCCGATTCATGGCAACAGAAGGCTGTGTGAGATTATCTATGTTGAAATGGTAGCGTCAACACTAACACTTGAATGTTAGTCTGTATTGTTATGTCTAAACAAATAGGTCGCTGAAGATAGGATGAAGCAATGAGAATTGTATTTTCGCATTCAATATGAGATTAACCGCACATGAAGGAAGAAGTATGTATAAATTCATGATGTGCAGACAAGTGTCAGTACAGATTCCTCAGGTAAGCATCAGATTAAGAAATCGATACCGTTCAAATCCTAAGTCACAGGCTACCTGCATTTAAAACTGAGTGCCGCTTTATGACTCGAGATAAAGATGGACAAGCACAAACAGCTGAGCTTGTATTGGAATTCATTAAACCAAGCATCCTATGGCCAGATACTGCAAATACACCATGAGTATCATCATCTTGATGATGTGAAAATGGGAATTATATTTCCAGTTTTACAATTAAGTTACTTCATCTTTTTTTCTAAAGGGAAGTCTTTTATACATAATCTAACCTCAAAAATTATATGGACTAAGAATACATTCTTTAACAGGACAAAACCAGTAGTACGCCCATAAATAATTTATGCAGGGAATCATTTATTCAAACGAAATTTAAAGAAGATAACCCACAAGATTATCAATAAGACCAACTGATGCAATTTTCCAGTTCTATAATTGAATACTCAGACAAACTGCAGATTCTACAAATGAATTTGTATTGGAAATCTTTATTCACGAATTGATTCAACAAAACCAAAAGAACAGTACAAATCACGAGTAAAAACAAAACAAAGAACGATTCAAAGCCATGAGCGAAACAGAAAAAAGAAGACGAATTCCAGAGAAAATTACAGAGAGAGATACAAGTTTGCCAAACAATCCAGACGGTTCTAAATTTCTCTCTCTCTTTCTCCTCCCTAAGACACTAGCTGTTAGAAATAATACTAACTAGGAATCTAACAAACTGCTAACAACCCGCCACGTCACCCTTTCAAACCCCCCACACGTGTCTTGTAATCTTCTTCTTTTAGCTTACGTGTCATCCACAGGTTTAAATGAGTGGCCCACTTTGCCACCTAGCATCTTCATCACTTTCCTCCTGCTTTGTATTCTTCAATCATAAAGCCTTTTCTTCTGAACCTTTCTTCCTAACTTGTATCAATACCCCTGTTCAAGAGATATGATGTTGTCGGGTAATCTGTGAAGCTTAAACACAAAACCCATAAACACCTTGGCCACAGAACTAGCAGTGTAAGGGTGAGATAATGACATAAAGTGAGCATATTTAGTTAGCTTATCCACAACAACAAAAATCACAGATTTGCCTGATGATAAAGGTAATCTCTATATGAAATCCATAGTAATATCTGAAAAAATAGTCTGAGGTAAAGTAAGGGATTAAGCAAACTTGGATTAGCAAAGTTGTCATATTTGCGTTGCTGACATACTCTGTAGCTGAATGAAGTCTCGCACAACCTTATTCAGTCCCTCCCAATACAACAATGTGGCAACTCTTCTAAATTCGTAGCTGTTGATCCTGCCATTAGAATTCTGAATGTGAATCCTCAGGTTCCTGTAATTGAGCAATCACTTTTTTCAAAACTAGATCCAAACTCCAGGAAGATTGAATCCATGAAAACAGTCCTGTAGAGACTGATGACATAACCAATGTTGACAGTTCCATCCTTGATAATGCATCAGCTACCTTATTTTCTCTTCTCTTCTATAGACAATATCACATCCTGCCCCATTAATTTGACTAACCATATTGACTGTCCAGCTGTATGAATTTTTTTTTTTTTTTTCTCTAATAGAAGCTTCAAACTTTAATGATCCGTGCGAATTGTGAAGTGTCTGTCAGTCAAGTATTTATGCCTTTTTAACAGCAAACAAAATAGCAAAGAGCTCTCTCTCATAAACATACAAAGCTTTCAAGAGAAAGTGACATACCCAATTTTGCATTAATACAGTCCCAATTCCAGCACCAGAAGCATCTGTCTCAATGACAAATTCCTCCTTCAAATTTGGTAAAGCTAGAACAGGAGTTTGTAACCATTGCCAGCTTCAACTCTTTGAAAGCAGATTCAGCAGCCATATTCCACACAAAACCATCCTTTTTTAACAGGTTAGTAAGGGGTTTAGCTATCTTATCATAATTCTACACAGATCTCCTATAGTAACCATTGAATTCCATAAACCTCGTAATTGCTTTAGATTCTTATGTGTTGACCACCGTTGGATAGCTACAATTTTTTTTGGAATTGGTCTGAACTTCTTTTTAGAAATATAGTGTCCTAAATATTCTACCTTTGGAGTACCAAATGTGCACTTAGATTTTTTAGCAAACAAAGTACTATGTCTTCAATCTATTCAAAACAGTTTCTAAGTGTTGCAAATGTTCTACTAAAGTTTTACTGAAAACAAGTATATCATTAGAGAAAACTAAGATGAATTTTTCTAAGGAAAGGTTTGAAAATGTCATTCATTAACGATTGAAAGGTACTAATAACATTGGTCAAACCAAATGACATTATCAAATGCTTGTAATGAGCATTATGTGTACGAAAAGCAGTTTTGGAAATGCCATGGATCTTCATCTTTATTTGATGATATCCAGCGTGCAAATCCAATTTAAAGAAAATAATAGAACCATACAATTCATCTAATAGTTATTCAATAATAGGAATAGGATTGATTAAGTCTTCCGTAGTCCACACACATCCTCCAAGTTTTATCTACACACATTTTCCAAGTATTATCGTTTTTCTTAACCAACATCACTAAGGAAGAGTAAGGACTTATGCTAGACCATATCATTCCATTTCCTAACATCTCCTTAGTTGGTCTCTCAATCTCATCCTTCGGAATAAAAGGGTACCTATCCGGTCTCTTACTAACGGATAGGTTCAAAACCTTCCTTTAGAGTAATTTTGTGGTCATGAGACCTATGAGGAGGTAAGCCTTTCGGCTTCTCAAAGTCATCATTAAATCCATCTAAAACCAGCTCTTTCACATGAGGAGTTTTATTTTCCAATTATGTGTTACATGCCGTTATTCCTAATTCTTCCATATCCGGTATTTGATTTAGTGGCAATCGGTTTAGATGTTGTTGCTTGCACGGAATTCAATCAATTTCTTTTTCTTCCTCATTTTTAACTACTTTGACAAAAGTCCCCCGTAACCTAAACAGATTCCCTTCTTTAAGAAACTTCATGCACATATCTTTGAAGTTTCATGTAATATCTCCGAGTGCATATAGCCATGCAATACCCAAAATCATCTCATACATATCTAATTGCATTAACAAGCGGTAGTCTCATAGACTTTGCGGTCTATCATCCATTTAAAATTGTTACAAATGTACTCACAAGCAAGTTTCACCCCGCATCGACCACTTTCACAAATACAGAGTTGAATTTTAATCATGTCACAACCATACTTTCTTACAAATGTCAAGTCTACAAAATTATGAGTACTTCCCGTATCAATTAGAATTTTCCTCTTTTTTTCTTAAATTCTCCTACAACCTTCGTAGTTTGACGGAGTTCCCCAAAAGATCGCATACATAGATATTTGGTATAATTCCCCACTAAGTTTTCCATGCCCTCACTATATTCCCCATTACTCTCATCCTCATTTAATTCTCCCTCATGTTCTCCTATTCTACCTTCCTCTACTTCCAAAATAAACATCTCGTCTACCTTTACATTTATGGCCGGAAAAGTATCCGTTATCACAACAATAACACTAGCCCTTCAATCTCCTCTAATCCAGCTTCTTTATTGTTAGGCGAGTCTCCTAATTTTGAATACGAAATTTTCATTTTGGAACCGAGGTGGTAGAGTTAGTGACCCATTTGAATTATGGTTCAATTCATTAGAGGTTGTTGGTTTGGAAATTTAGAGGTTCCGGTAATATTGGTAGCATTAGACCTTTGATTATTCATGGAAAAATTAGAATTAGGTCTTGGAGAAAACATCGAAAGTGTTTTAAAGTTGAATTTTTTAGAATAGTGTGGAATGTTTGGGTTGGTATCTTGTAATTTGGCTAAACCTATCGCCTCCTTAAAGGTTTTAGGTTAGCTTGTTTGCTATTTATCAAAGGATAATCTCATTCAAAAGCTTAATCTTTTAAGTGCTATAATATAATTTATATTATTATCTAACACACCCTCTTAAGCGAAAGCCTTATAGGCTTGAAATTGGCACAAGCCCACTTTGTCTTGTGCTTAATTAATTAGAAGAGAAAGTGAGGGTAGTAGGATTCGAACTTGCAATCGTCTAATTGTCAATGCTCCGATACCATGTCAAAAGACTATTTCATCCAAAAGCTTATGCTTTTATATGAGACCCTATAATATGATTTATATTGTTCTCTAACACTACTAAAATCAACTTTCCGAGAAGAGATCGTACATCTTTAGTCTATCTTAATGTCATTAGCCTTGACATAGGATCACTAAATTCCATAACTCCAAACCAATTATTCATGGCATCAATGTAGTCGATCTAATTTAAAATAACATTATCTCCTTGCATCCTAACATATGCCTAATGTCATTCTAAAGCCTCTCCTTCTAAATATATAGTCACTAAGTTTACTTTAAATTCATTAGGTGTTCTATCTACAGAGAAGAATTTCTCACATCTAAAAACCCAACAATCAAAATCTTCCCCCACTAAACGTAGAAAATTCGACTCTAGACATCCTAGTGTTGCATTGATACCCAAAATTACTTTCTCTATAACCATTTCCTATAGGATACTCATACTCGTGTCTTCTAAAACTCTCTCTATCCATATTACCAATTCCTTCAACATTATTATCCATCACTATGGTTATTGATCATTTCAACAACCATTGGACTCTCGAGTCCTTTCACAAGTCCTTCCAATTCAATTATATTCATCATGCCCCTCAAACACGTTGTTACATCTATTAGAGAGTTCGAGTAATTACCTTAGATGATCAATGGATTCCTCCTTTTTTTTAAACTCGCACTTTGATAAGGGTTGAAATATCTTTCAACCCTTACTCGCGTATTTCCTTGCTGTTTCCCTTTATTTAGCACCTAAAATAGCAGTTTCCTTAGTTGTTGTTCCTTAATTATTTCCCTTCATTTGGCACCTAGATTAGAGCCTATTTCCTTTGTTGAATACCATACAACTGTACATAGATTTAGTGCCTCCGGTATTTAAATGGGGCTTGTAATCAATTTAAAATATAGTGGAGAAATATTCCTCTCTTCCGTCTTCTCGCCTAATTTATTTTATCGTGGTATCGGAGCGAGGTTATTGATCATACATTTCCTTCCATCAAAGCTGTCACAAAGTTTTGACGGTATCATTGCTCACTCTAATGGAGGGAACAAAAAAG